CACGAAAAGCCCAGCGCTCGCGCTTCTTTAGAGTAATCAGAATTATAAAGGATATCTAAAATTTTATGGCATTACACTCTCTTCCTCTTTCTTTTTAGGGGTTACAGGGCTATGCTCTTTCAAAGAGGGAAAGTGGGGCTATTCTTATTCCTGTACAGTTTCGTGTTCACGTCCAGTCTTCTCTGTCCACTAGTGCAGCTTCCAGCTCTATGCTATGTATGGTAGTCGTTTGACTCGGGAATCCCTTCGCCCAGCTAGCTCGTCCGTGCCTGGCTTAAGTATTTGGCCTGGTACGATTCACCACCATTTTCAATTTGAAGCTTTTTGATCTTCATCCTGGTCTTATTTTCTACCATCGCCTTCCACACCTTGAAAGCCTCAAATACGTCAGACTTATATTTCAGAAAGTATACACATACCTTTTTGGAATGGTCATTAAAAAAAGTCACGAAGTATTTCTTCCCACCAATAGATGAGACAGTAGTTGGACCCCAAACATTAGAGTGGACAAGCTCGAGTCTTTCCTTTTTGGGGTTCTCCCACTTGTCTGAAAGCTAACTAGCTTCTGCTTTCCAAGTATACAGTCTTCGAACATATCAATTTCTATTGACAGAAGACCTGATAGTTTTCCATTTAAGCGCATGACCTTCATCCTTTTCTCACTCATATGGTATAGCCTTTGGTGCCATATATTTGGACTTTCATTTGTTGCAACTGCAATCAAAAGACATCCTTCAGTTGTCTTGTAAAGAGTACCACTCTTTTTACTGCGAGCAATTGTCATTGCACCTTTTGAAATCTTCTAATGATCTCCATGAAAGATTGTTGTGTAACCATCACTGGCCAACTGGCGTACTATAATTAAGTTCTTCGTCAGGTCAGGAATGTGTCTGACATTCTTCATCTCCCAAATAGACCCGTTAAACTTGATCTTCATTACACTTTTTCCCACAATCTCACAAGATTGTTAATTACCAAGGTAAATTTACCGAGGTTCCCGGGGGCATAATTTTTGAAGAACTATTTCTGTGAAGTTGCGTGAAAGGATGCTCTAGAATCTAACACCCAAGACTCTTCCTTGCTCTCCAATCAACATATCAACTCACCACCTCCTCACGAGGTTGAAGCAATATTTTCCTTATCTATCGCCTCCTGATTCTTTGGCACACTTCTGCACTGATTTTTATAGTGTTTGGTCTTCCTACAATTCCAACACTCGATAGTCTTCGAGTTGTTAGAACTATGAAGATTTATGGACTTTGATCATCCCACCTTTAATTTGTTGTGTTCGCTTCCTCTGGTTGAACTTCTACCTCTTGACTCTATATGCAATACTTAAGAGGTTGATGATTCACCCGACTCTCTCTGTCGGATCTCTTCACTGAGAACCAAACCACGAACATCATCAAATTTCAATTTGTTTCTTCCTGATGAGCTACTCACGACTGTGACTGTAGCATCCCAACTTTCTGGCAGGGAAGACAAGACTATCAAAGCCCACACTTCTTCATCAAAGTCGATTCCAACCGAACTCAATTGGGTTGTAATAGTGTTGAGTTTGTTCAGATGTTACACCATTGACGCACCTTCTGTCATCCGTAAGTTGAACAACCGCCTTATTAAATGAACTTTTTTTGAGGCTAATGACTTTTCGTACATGCTGGAAAAAGCCTTCATAAGATAGGCCTTAGTCTTTTCTTTTGCAATGTTGAAAGCAACATTACAGAATAACGTCAATTGAATGACTCCAAGAGCTTTTCTATCGAGAAGGGTCCATGAACCGTCCTCCATTGTCGTTGGTTTTGTGCCTGTGAGAGGTTTGTGCATACCTTTCTGATACAAATAATCCTCTATTTGCATCTTCTAAAAGCTGAAGCCCGCGCCATCGAACTTCTCAATTTTCACCTTTCCTTTGTCTGCTGCCATCGCTCCCACTCGAGTCTGACTCTTCTGGATCACTTTTGAAACAGAAAGAACCAACCAGCTTTGATACTAGTTGTTAAAAAATTACACAACATTTCCTCATAGTCATGTTTGTGGAATAACGATATAAATGTGGAATAATAACACACAAAAATTCATACGAGTTGTTGTAGACTTTTTTATTTACTGGAAAGATAAAATACACATTGTATTTAAGAATTTCTCTCACTTAGTTTTCTCTCTGGTTTATTTCTCTAGTTATTGAAAATACTCTCAATGTTGGAATGAACATTGTTTTGGCTTTGACATATTATATAGCCAAAGCATTGGATGCATCATCCGTAACCCATTCATCACAGTTCCTATAAAGTAGAAACATCTTCCATTTACTTCTAAATAATAAGAAAATAATGACCATTCAAACAATAAGAAAACAATGACTTTTTCAACAAAATCAACATGCTTAGAATGGGCATTGATAAGGATGAGAAATATACTAAGGAGATCATGAAGAACATGTTGAAGATGTTAAAGATGCTAGTCTATGTCATAATGTTGTTAGTTTTGATTTTTGTAGTGTTGTGTGTATTTTGGTTTAGAAGTGGTGATCATTGTTAGTTTTCATACTTTCATTGTAAATCATGACTTTTGGTACTTTCATATAATATTTGTTAACAATGGTTAAATTAACAATTATGCCTATTTTGTATTGCAATTCTATACCAGTTTTGTTATAGTAAGGTCGTAATGTTTATAACAGACAAAACTTGAAGGACCTGGTTGTTACAATTTAAAAATAAATGGGACATGTTTGTTACAATTAAAACATAACTGATATGTACAACAAACATGAGTTTGGTACTTTGATGTAACACTTGTTGACAATGATTATTAATTGTGCCTATTTTGTGTTCATAAATTCTATACCAGTTTTGCTATAGTTATGTATTAAATTGTACAACAAACAAAACTTGAAAGACCTGATTGTTACAAATTAAAAACAAATGGGACCTATTTATTACAATTTAAAACATAACAGATATGTTTTGTTGCACTGTTTTGGACATTAAACAATTAGAAAACAACATACAAAATATTACATAATCATAACGTAAGCCATTGAATTTTTATAAAATTCAAATAAGGTTCTAAAATAGAATTCTCAAAACATTGTTATAGACTAAAACAAAAGTATTAAAATATTATTATAAACCAAAACATACATAACCATAAACCAAAACATTATTATAGAATTCAAAACAGTATTCTCAAAACATAAGATCCTAAAATAAAATTTTCAAGACACAATCTATTTGCTCTTTCTCCTTATGACCAACTTTAGTCTCATGCTTGTTGGTGGCTGAAATGTTGTTGTACCAACCTGTCTCCCCCTTCTCATGTATAGCAAGTAAACTAGGCAATTGAGATGGATTGTCGTGTTTGAATTCTGGAAATTGATGTTGGCAATCTACTTTGAATTCTTTGAGTTGGTTGGGATTGAACAATGGGGACTGGAGGGGTTGTTTGGAATTGTCTAGTTTGAACTCTTTGGTTGGTTGGAATTGGACAGTTTGAACTTGAAGGGTTGTTTGAGATTGTGTTGTTTGAATTCTTTTGGTTGCTTGAGATGGATAGTGGCGGCCGTTTGTGATTGGTTAGTGGTGGCAGTTTGGGACTTGACATTTGTTGCAGTTTGTGATTAGACAGTGGTGGCATTTTGGGCTTGTCTTGGTTTTTGTTGGACATGATGATTTGTTGTGGCCAGAAATACCACATACTGAACATTTATTTGGCAGACCCTTTCTTGAAGCATTTGTTGAATCCTTTCTCTTTTCTTCAACATCTTTGTTTCTTCTTCTTTTTGGCCTCCTTAGTGCTCTTCTGGAAGGTGGTGGAAGTATGTTAGGATATTGTGTTAGTTCCCATAAGTTTTTTTCTTCCATTTGTTGGATATATGAATGGTTGGTAGCAAGCCTGGTAAGTCTCATTCCTATAACATGGAGGAATGTACTCAGTTGGGTCTTGGGATCTACTTTGAACGCAAGTAATTGCATGGTAGCATGGAATGCCAGTGGGCATCCGACTCCTGCAAGAGCACTCCAACCTTTTGAGATCAACTACAAATTTTTTTCCAATCAAGCAAATAAGCAACATACCCTAAAATGAACACCACCATTACTGTTATCAACAACAGACCCACAATTACATCAACCTAAAACCTAACACGCAAGATTGTTGAAGAGTTTTATTTTCATAAACTAATCAAAAAGGGAGAACCACAGATAATGAGTTTAGATACAACGAAACGTACCTAAGCTTCATGGTTTCTTCACCTTCAATGTAGCTTCATGAAGGGGGGGAAATAGCTTCATGAAACGTATCTTCACGAAGGGGGAGAAGTAGCTTCACGAAACGTACCTCAACTATGCGTACTACAGTTATTTAAATTAGGGCCGTGTAATCTAATTTTTGGATAATACAGTCTTAAGCATTCTAGAATAAGGCAAATGCTTATTCAACGCTGTTAAATAACACATCAACGCTTTTAAATGACACATCAACGCCACTTGTGCCACATTAAGAATATTTAAAATAAAGTTTGTGAAAAAGATCAACAGTGAACACATTAGTTAACATAAAGGACTAAATTATAGTAAAAAAACATAAAAGATTAACTTGTTACAATAAAATAATTTAAAAAACTCAGGATATATTTTATCCAAACATAAATCAATTTAATAACTCACGTTTAATCAAAATTATTTCTATCAAATTCCATTGATAAATCAAACACATACTACATACGTTTACTTAAAATAATGCATGCACGTGTACTTTTGCATATTATAAGAAACAATCTCGAAATACTATATATATACAGGATTCGAACCCGCGATCTATAAAAGCTACGGAAGAAATCTTTACCACTTAGCTATCGAAGAAAAGACGAAACTCAGTCTTAGGTTAACACCATAACTATCTGAAAAGTATCACAGAACTCTGAAAAGCCCTAAACCCCTTCCCGCGCCTTTCTCTCTTCAATTCAATCACCTCAACGCCGTTTCTCTCTCGACGAAATGGTTTCGCAGTGGGGAATCAACTTCGCCGTCTACCTCATCACCAACCACTTCGGCAAAATCGTCGCTGTATCACTCTCCAACCCTTTCTCTCTATATCTCTTCTTCTCTTTTATCTCTGATTTTTAAGTAACATATTATTGATTTTTTATGTTTTCAGAAAGTTTGCGAAAATCTACTCAACCACGGAGCTCTCACTCTGGACCTGGCTATTCGTTACACGGAACTTTCCTCAGAGCATGTTAAGAACTCATTGCTTGTATTGATTCAACACAATTGTGTCCAGGCTTTTGTTGCTGAAGGTAATGGTATCAATGTTATGGTTTATTATTCTTTCTTATCAACTATTTAATAGCAGTGAACATGTTTAGGTATAAATGTCTTGATCATGGTTTTGAATTGCGGTTTCGGTTTGGTAAAATTTGGAAAATGAGTTTGAAATTGCGGTTGTAATGCCGTTGCGGAGACCTCAAAATCCTTTATGTTGTCTCCGCATGTTCAGTTGCAGACTACAATTTAAAAACCTTGATGTTGATGCTATGTCATAGTTTGATGAATTATGTGTATTTGCAATTAAATTACGCTCTATTAGTGGATGATAAAGTGACGTGGTGGTGATTTTTTTGAATAAATATAAATGCAGGTGGTGATGATGATGGGTCGAGAGTTAAGACACAATACATGGTGTTGTTTGATAACATACTCCATCGACTGAGATTTCCAAAATTTATGGAGATAGTTTCGGGGGAACTTGATGACAAAGTTGGTTTGATCCTTGCTTTTTTCTTGAAGCTTTTCGACTTAAGGCTTAAAATGCTGAGAGGATTTTTCCACTTGTTTTGCAGTGTGCAAAAATTTTTGAGGGTTTGCTCCGCGATGGTAGACTTAACATGAAACAAATGGTTGACAGAGAAAGTCAGGGAAAAGGCATGTGTTTTAGTTGGCTCATATTTATATGCTGAGAGTACCGTAATTCAAATTTCCTCAGCTTAACTATATGTCACAAAATAGTGAATCCTCTCCTCAATCTGTCCGTCTCAAAATCATGTTTTTTCACTTTCAGAAAATGCAGCGGCTGCAGCTGCTGTACGAGAGAGCCTTCTTAAACTTCTGATGGCTCGATTTGTTGAGCGCTGCCCACTCCCTGAGGCTAGAGTAGGTGAAGAAGAAGTTATTACTAAGAAGCGTGGTGCTAAGGGGGCCCAGGTAATTGTATACTTGTGTCAATTTCTATAAGTAGTTGGATTATCCTTGATCAATGATTTGGGATAAAACCAGGCATTTGGCGTCTAATTTGTATAAAGCACAGGGCCTTTCTAATGGGGTTTCAGTCACTAACAGTTATGTTGAGGAATCACAAAGCTTTGTTGGATTGATAGTTTCTTTTTTCTCTATTGTGTTCTTTTATGTTATTTTGTTTTGGGAGATTCATTATCTTCATTTCTCTCTGATTTTAGTGATTTGTATTTATCATATAAAATGTGTTTACGTTTTAACCTTTTACTTATTTTTCTTTTAACTTTTGAGCAAGGAAATATGTAGTAATTATCTCTGCTGGTAACAGCCATGATTATCATTTTTCTGTAGCATCAATTAGACATGGAAGTTGATTATGAGAATTCAAGCAATGGAAGTTTACTAGTTAGTTCATTCTAGTACTGTACACAGTTGATGCTTCATTAAATGCTTCCTGTTTAGGATTTTTACAGGCAGGCTTATGGTTCATCATTTGCATAAAAAAAAAAGAAGTGTTGGAAAGTAGATAATTAATGAGATTTTTATGCCATCATTCATCATTTTGATTGACAATGCCACTACATTGTGTTCACTCTTGTAATCTGAATAAATTTTTGCTGATGCTGTTTGATTTCATCATTCGTGACCTATAGAATTTCAAAGCACCAGAAACAAAAGAACAACGTGTTAAAGAAGCTGCAGTGCGTGGGGATATGATTAGATTTTCACTCAATGCAGATATAGGATATAATAGTGATGGAGAAACAATTCCAGCTGATACAAGCATTGCAGAAAATGATGGTAAGACTCTTGTCATCTTGTTAGAGAACTGAGTGGACTTATTATTTTGCTAGTGATATTTTAAACGTGGATATAAAATTTGGTGCAGCAAAAGAGGACTTAATTCTTTGGCGTGCAAATTTTGACGAGTTCACACGTTATCTCAGGGACAAGGTTCGTTTTACTATAATATCCTATTTGAACTACATGCCATTGCTACCCACCCAGATTTAGTTGTTTTCCGTGATTTCTTTTTTCACTTTTTGTAAAAAAAAACTTATAATAATTCAACAAACTGAGAGAGGGTCACCAATATAGTTAAATGTTGTGAATTGTAAATGCAAATGGTTTATGTGAAGAAGCCTGATAGAATTTAAATCCATTCTTAGCCTTTATAAATGCAACACTGCCGTTTACAAGTAGGGTGGTAATAGGCCAGGACAAGCGACGGGGCCTATGGTCTAGCCTACTTCAATCCCATGCCAAGCTATTTTTTTTTTTAATAAAAGAGACAAGGCTTAAACTTATTAGAAACCTATTTAGCTAAAGATGCCAGACTTCATGCCATAAAAATGCCTTCTAGGCCTATCAGACAACCTACTTAATAAATATACATAATATTTTTATATTACTATTGTTATTATTATATTAGGTATATTGGATTTTGTACAGTGTTCAAACCTTTTCATTACTTTAAGCATATTAGCTTACATAAGTTTTTAACATATCTAAATATTATTATGAAATGTAATTGAAGTAGGATCTCATAAAGTCATAATCTCTAAAATGTGTTGTTAAATCTCAGTATCCTATTAGCTTGTTAGTCTATTTTAAAGGTCAGCCAGATTGCTTATTTAAAAAAATTAATATGAAATAGACTTTTAAACAAACTAACATGCCATAACGAGATTTTAAAAAGGCCATAATTAGACCCAAAAAAGAAAGCTATGACATGTAATGTAACAAGTCAGACTTGGATCTTGAATTATTTTATCAAGTCAGATTTAGTCATTGCGAAGTTGTAACAATACAATAGCAATCTGGATATAGACAGCAAGAATCACCCTAGGCAGTCAATCGAGGCCTGTAGTGGTGCAATTGTGACAGAGCAGAGCTGCCTCTGGATGCTATGGTAATGCCAGGTGCAGTGCAAATCACTGGCGGCTGCTGCAAACACGTTTCCGGAGAACAACATGTGACACGATGTGGCAGTAGTAGTGATTCGTGCCCGCAGCAGTGAGTTTTTTAAAAAAAATCCCAAAAGGGTAAAACTGGATAGAGAAGTAGTGATTTTTCGCAGTAGAAGGAGAAAGAGGGAAGGTGAAGAATCACAGTAGAAGAATGAATACACAGTACAAACTACAAAGTGAGAATCACAGAGGCGACATTGTAACCGTTTAACTTTTGCTAGGTTTATTTAAAGCAGAATAAGGGAGAAGACAAACTCAATCTGCAAAAATAAACATCTACAAGAATTCCAGAAGTTGGGCCTTTGTGAGTACCTTAGGCTTTTAGGGAAAAAATGACAAGTTTTTCTCTCTATTGGAAAAAAATAATAATGTGAGTTTTAATAATAAATAAATAATAATATAACAAAGTAACATAATCAAATGAAAATATAATTATCTATTTATAAATGAACAAAAATTAAAGAGAAAAATATTAATAATAATACTATTTAATAGTAATAATAAAATAATTACTTGAACATATTGAGTATAAAATTATTTGGATTATTTAGTATAAATCTTGTATAGATTATTTAGATAAAAACAAAATTTCAAATAGCAGCTATCCTGCTATCCCTGTTTCGGGATTGGCTGCCTAGGAATCACCTAGGTTATGTACTGATTGCATTTACTGTATCCTAACATAAGCCTCTGTCAATTTTGAGTTCATTTTCGACCTAATTTCAATGCCCGACTATGAAATCAGCTAAGCTATGATCTGATTCATGTTGCTTTTACCGGTATAAAAACTTGCAAACTTAAAGTTTCTTACAAAATCAGCTATATCATATGGTTTGTGTGGATTCACATAATCGGTTATCTTAAAAGTGTGGTTTAGCATAACTCAACCTTATAAAACCGGCTTATAAGGTAAGGGTTGCCCCCACTTATAAACTTCTTTTCAAGCCATATTTCAACCAATGTGGGATTCTTTAAAAGGTTCATTATGTAATGCTTTGTGTAAAGCAGCTTAGCATTTATTATTATTCTTTATTGATGCTACTTTATTTTCTCTTAAATATTGACTGTGGCAACAGGGCATGTGTTAATATTTATTTGATGTTGGTTTTCTTTTTAATATTAGTTGTAAGGCATTATAGTATTTTCATGGATATCGTGTTTGTATGAGTTTGATGGAATTGTTTGCTTTCTGTTTGCATTCTGCTGGATGTTATTATTTGAAGAATGCATTCTAAACATTATATTCATTTTCCAGGCACTGGTTGAGAATGTAAGAACACGGATGGACGATGGAGCTGCTATTGTCCTAAGTGCAATATTGAAGGCAACAAGAGATAAAGATAAAGAAGTGAAAATAGAAAAATCAGGTGATCTAGATTCCGTTTCCCGAATTCTGGAAATTTATGATGTTAATATTCATGTCTATTGGCCGATACATGTTCAGATAGTAATTACTTATTTAATTTATATAATTTATGATGATTTGATGATTGCATGATTCATGACATACTCTGATCGCTCTCAAGCTTTTACCTAATTTGCATTTCAAAGATTTATGCCCAAAAGAAAGATTTGATGAGCGGAAAATTGTATTTGAGAGTTAGTTAATCACTTAAAGTTTAAGAAGTATATTACTGTAATGGCAAGATGATGCAATTGTAGTGCACCAATTGAAGTCAGTTTTGTTACCTTGTTCTTTTCTATTATTAGGCTTAGTTGGAGTTTTGATCTTTTTAGTTTTACTCGATCACAAAATTGGTCCCCATTTTAAAATCCACCAATTTTGGTCTCTTTCTCATATTTATTTATGGACTAAAAAATGGTGACGTGACATGTTTTAAATGATGTGACATGACATATAGTCTGATGAAGAATCTTTGAGATGAATTTATTATTTACTTATAATTAATTAAATTACATAAATGAGTAGTTTTCGAAGTTGAAACAAAAGCTATATAGAAATTTTTTATTTTTGTAATTTTATTTTTGTGTTGATAACTTCACATCATCATATCGTATGCCACATCATCATATCGTATGCCATATCATTTAAGACATGTTACATTATTAGTTTTTAGTCCAAAAAATTTGAAGGAGGATTCAAAACTTAAAAGATTTAAAAGTGGGAGGACAATTTTCATAAGCGAGTGAAAATAGGAGGACCCAAATTGCAATGAAGTCTTTCTATTATGTATTAGGTGTCACTTTAGCACATACAATTTCCTTTTGCAAGAAAATATGTAATCAATAATCTAAAATATTCTTCATATAATGTAACGACTTTGTCGGGTCATAGATACAATTTCAGTACCTGAATGGAAAGCTGTAGGATGAAAACATCAATTTTAAAAATGTAAATGAACACAAACTCATGCTTATTGCTAAAGAATTCCATGCTATGAAGTACCTGACGTAGACATGATACCAACAATGACACGTTGTCATCGGTAATAATTTGAAAAAAGAATAAATTGAATGTAATCACACGTGTTGGTGTCGGACACTGATATTTGAAATAGAGAAATGGAAGAAGAGAGCAAGAGGGAAAGTTTTGCATTTCTGTTATTGATATTTTCTCAAATGAGAAAGCTAGTTACAGTACTCATGAATGTGAGTATATCTTTATAGCCTAACTGGATTGTGCTGACTCGGCATAGTTAGTTATAGTTAGTTTGTTACAAGTCCAGTAGGGACTGTTTGGCTAAACTATTCTAACATATACTCTATTAACTGACACGTGTCGGACACGTGTCACGCTTTTGATCGGAGGTGTTGGTGATACAAAGGTGCTATGACATCCCAATAATGGTGCACCATTTCAAAGTAATTAATTATGCTTAGTGGCATAAAAGTTTCACTCAAAGTTTTGCTCTCCTGGGATAGCAGACGGCGCGGAGGCCGACCTCTATGAAATCGCAGATCGCAGCGCGTTTTTTAATCGCGGCCGCTTTTTGAACAATCGTGGGTTGCAAAGCTGAGTGGCTTCCCGGCCCAACCTGCTTTCTGTTTTTTTGTGAAATACCCTTAAATTTTTTTGTCATTTGCCCGAAATTCCATTTCCTCTTTCACATTTGACTCTTTTCTTCTCCTCTCTTGCGTTCGCCTCTGTACTTCTTCCACTCTGTATAAATGATCTAAATCTATTATCTAAATCAATATATTCCTCTGTTTTATTGTCATCATCTGTTTCTTCAAAATTAATGCAAGGTTGCTTTGTTTGAAGAAGAATAGTTTGAATCTTAAGTTTGAATTTTGAGATGTGATGTTTTGATTAAATTTAAAACTTGTTGATGTTGAAATGATCGAGAGTTTTTGATTAAGCTTGTGTTTTGATAGTTTGATTTATGAATCTTTTATGGGTATTGTTGTACTATTGAGTTATTTGTTAGATTTATTTTTATAGTTATTATTTATATAATTTGTTTTAAAAATAATTAAATAGCAGTCATACTGCTATCCCATTTTTGGGGTCAGCCGCTCTGCTTCGCTATCCAGAATTGATAACTCTGGTAACACTATCATAAAAGTGTTTATTTGATGAAATTAGATCGTTATGTGTATGCCTATGCGTGTGATAGAAACTCGTATCAGAGTACTATTTAATTGTAGAAACTAACTTATATTATAGTAGAGTAGGTTTACAACAAAAACAATTTTACACATACAATAGAGAATGCGTAATTCACGCAATAACTAAGAGAAAAATATTATTATAAGACCATTCTTATTCAAGAAATTCGGAAGTCTTGTCTCTCCCCCCAAAAGAATCATCTTGTCCTCAAGGTGAAATGAAGGACATTGTTTCATCATAGTTGCAATTGGTTCTCAAGTGGTTCAAAATCTTGAATTTTCAATCATCTTGTCCTCAAGGTGAAATGAAGGACATTGTTTTTGGTTCTCAAGTGGTTCAAAATCTTGAATTCTCAATTAGTGGAAGTCATAAAGCCTTTTAAATTTGGTTTCCTTAGTAGATTTGTTTTTTGTTTTTTATTATAGTTTTCTGATTTATCCTCTTGTCAACAAACAAGACCTCCACCATTAGTATCTCATTGTACTCTCAAGGCTTACACTATCTTGTCCTATGTTTCAGTTCCCTTACCGCTGGATACAATTTTCTCAGAAGTGATTAAGACTGAAAATGGCCGAACATTGACCATAGATCGTGTTAAAGCTGCTCTTGTTCAGTTGGGCTGCTCAAATCAGATGTTATATGAATATATTGTTGGTATGCCAATATCTCTTTACCTTATGTTAGTCTGTATTTTGTGGCATAAAATATACATGTGACCTACCGGTAGATTTAATTTGTCTTGAGATGAAAGAGACTAAGAGGCATTTGAATTAAACCGTTTGTTTTGAAGAGCACTACGGTGACTGTATTATATATAAAGGGATTACAGCTATTTCTCGTTCCTTTGATATGTTGTTATTCTTAACTTCTTTCTTTTCTTTTCCAGATTTAAAGCACATTATTCGATGGGCTCGAAATGAAGAGGTTTTTATTTATTTATTTATTTATTTATCGTTATGTTTATAAATCTCTCTCTCACACACACATACATATTCATGTTTTACTCACGAATAACTGTGCTTTTGTGTGCTATGCTACAGGTTGAGTCAATTGTGCTAAAAAGGTATGGAAGGGATGCCTATCGAATGTTCAGGCATCTATCAAAGGAAAATCAGTTTTGCCCGACAGATAAGGTGATAAACTCTTGATGATGAAACTGTAAACATAAATTTTGCCAATTAGCAAAGGGGACTTTATTGACAATAAACATAAAGTTTGAACGAATAATGCTTGATAAATGTGAAAATTTGATTTGATTTGGGATAGCTTCCCTCTTTCTGTTTCCTGCTTACTTCTATTAATGATTATAAATTCCTCGGTTTCTTTTTAAACTGGAAACAAATAAAATTTTAATAGTATATTACTTATCTGGCCTTTCAATCCTTCTCTTTTCTATGTAGCTTGCAGATGCTACTCTTGTAGAGAAAAAGGAAGCTCCAAAGTTACTGTATAAATTATGGAAGGAAAACTACTTGCATATGGAGGTAACGAATTATCCTTTTTAATATTTACAAATTCTGATATTTAATCTTTACATTAATTTAATATTCATTGCAGAAATTATCTGTCACTGGAGGAAATACTAAGCCAGTGTCGATTTTAATGTGGAAAGTTAATCAGCCTGTGCTTTGGAAACATGTTCTGGACGAGATGTACCACGGTGCCTTAAATTTGAAACTAAGAATGGCTTCTGAGCAAGAAAAGGAAGAAGAGGTTAGTAACTGTAGGTATTTGTAAATATAATCCTAACTGCTATACTATTATTGGAATTTGGAGCTTCTGTTTTCATGGATTATTGCCGCAATAACATCCATCAGAAAATTTTGGAAAATTGACTTTTCTTAATCTCGCTCATAAGCAAAATGTTTACCATTTTTGTTATTTGACAGTATTGCCATATTATACAACACAATGCTATGCTTATATTCAATGTATTGACCACAGTTCTTGCATTTGAGCTCTGTTATGTTACACAAATTAATATTGTTGCTGTTTGTTCCAGATTATAAATACTCCTAAGGCCAAGATTAATGAGTCTGTGCCATTGATGAAGAAATACAAACGGCTACAAAGTGTTTTATTACTTTTGGGAACATCACTGATGAAACTTGATGATGCTCTTATGCTTTTCCATGACTTCTGAAGATATGGAGGCATAGCAAATTTTGATAATTTAGAATTGATTAATACTCCGATTACAATTGGAGCATTCCCATAAATTTAATTTCTTTTGAGGTAATTGATTGGTGTTGAACTGAGTAGCGTATATTTAATTTCTTTTGAATGAGTTGGGTATGTTTGTTGCTGAAAGTTAATAAAATAGCTAGCTAACTAGTTTTAATTGTTATTCAACGATAAAATAAAATTCATGCTAATATCTTACTTCTGATATAAAGATAACTGCGTGGTTTAAGATTAATTTTTGAATTTAAACATGGTTTAAACATTTAAATATATTAACCAATTCACTTTTTTTTGCAAGATTCTAACAGAATATAAATCACTCTACTTTCAATCAATTTTTTTCACCTCAAAATCAAATACAGTTGGTTTAGCAAAACAACTACCTTATTTTGCACCAACAAAAGCAAAATCCACCCTATGAGCTGTTTTACCGTTCCTATATGCTCCTGCTATGAATGTTGTTATAAGCCCAATATCTTTAAGACACTATAACAGTGTGTTGGTTGAGTTACGATTTTCTCAAATTTTAATATTCAAGAAATTCTTTCATTTGAACACAACTTCTATTGTCAGCAAAGTAGAAGTTGTATCCATAATCCATTGAAAGAGTTTATATGTCATCGTCTTAACTTTCCACTTTCTAATTAGTTATGATATCTATAACAAAATGAAGTTTGAATTTACTATATAAACTTTAATCCTAATAAACTTATTAAAACAAATTTGATCTATTCCTACTTAAAATTTAAATCTAATCTACTTCTTAAACTGATCTTTGACAAATCAAATTTAAATTAATTCTAGTAAATTTTAAAATTAAAAATATCATAATTAAACTTAATTTTTTTTATCATATGATAGAGAATCATTAAAAAAAAATTGCAAATGACATTTTGTATGCTAGTTATACATAAGAGAAATACTCTTTCCACTCTTATGCGTGCATATCACACATTTGAAAATTCAAAATTACGTTTCATGTGTCTGGAGATGTATTTTTGGATGCATTCAAATCTACGATATTCTGAGTTCTACCCCATTTTGATTAAAATATAGTTTGGAGATGCATCTTCGTATATTATTTGGATATATCCAAAGACGCATCTCTAAAATGTCCCCTGAATTTTTTTGAAAGCGTGCTAAATGCAAGGGATAATTATTTTAGAGATACATCTCCAGAATCCATCTGAATCATATTAGAGCAACACCATTGTCCAAACATTGCAATTTTTTTAGGCTAACTTATATTAAAGTAACATCAAAGTAAAATGAAGTTATTAAAGTTAAAGGAAAGTAAAAAAGTCATACTTTAATAAAAAAGTCGAGATCACACATAACATTTGTCTGAAAATACAAAAAAATATATCAAAATATAAACTATTGGGTATGTCTAGCCCCTTGCCTCCTCCAACGTCTGTACTGCACGATATTCTGTAGCTTTGCAACCATACGCTCCACCAGGGCCAACTGGGGAGTGTCATCCTCAACGAGTTCAAACCTCTATGACTGCTATACCCATCTCCATAACATGCCGATTGACCCCCATCACGTTCTCGGCCTGATCATTCCAAACCTCAAAAACCTCCTAGTTAGTTGGCTTAGGTGGTCTTCTAAGAGCGTCTGGTGTCATGATAGGGTGTAACACCCTATAGAACCATGTCATATAACAGTCTGCATAAGCCTAGTGTAGAAGAGCTGACACCCGACGATACTCCTATGATACCAAATGACTCTAAAAAATCATACAGTATCATACCAAGATCCCCGCGGCGGGTGCCAAAAGGAGTGAACTATGAAGGATGTCTCAGAATAATCTACATATAGCTGACACAATGCTCGCTCAGGTAGATAAGTATACTTAAGAGATGACCCACACACCAACCATCAAGAATATAAGAAAATGACGTCAAACTGGCGCGTTTGGCCGTGACCCTCGTAAGGGTTTAAGCAATTGTCATCTGGTACCATGTGATCAAGAGAGTTTCCAAATGGCTAGACCATATTATTCCCACTATACGGAACAAATGTGGTTGCACATGGTCAGTTCTCATCATATGTAGTCGCAGCTTTCCACCTGATGGTGCGAGGGAAGTGAGAGATGATCCATCTCTTAAAATTGTTCAAATAAAATATTAATAACAAGTGTAACAAATGAATTATAAAAATATTAGTAACAACAAATTACCGTAAGCACCATGCAGCTCCCTGTCATCTACTTTGTCTTCCAAAGACAACTCTCGCCCAACTTAGAATACAGGCAGATCAAACAAGTGCCCCCTAGTTGTACTTGTGAATCAAAGTCATGTCGAGGAAGTACTTATGGTAGACCACATTGACATAGATTTCACTTTTGTTCACAAACATGAACGTGTCAACTAGGAACAAGAGATAACACCTCAATGTGCAATGTCAGTGATACTCAACCAACATATCATCGCCTACAACATCTAGAGCCCACTATAGATGTTTTTTTTTATAAATCTTTCCTGAAAAAAATAAACCTAGCATGAACACCTCTAGTGTTATGTGCCTTATGTGCGGCCTCAGCTGGGTCAACCCCCAAATGGGTAACCATCATGTCGATCCATTCCTCTTTCCGAATCCTTTAGCGGTCCAGTAATTTTCCCCTGATGGAAAGATACATATGAAACATCATCTAAGGTGATGGTCATCTCGCCTATAGGTAAGCGGAAAGATGACGTCTTTGAATGCCACCTCTCAAAAAAATCATGTGCATGTCGTGGTTTATGGTCATGTAAGCAGAAGAACATAAACAATCAAGTCAGGAATAACGAAAAACATCAATGAACCAAGCAACAATGGGTTGTTCTAGCTCTAAAATCTTATGTTGTAGTTAATCGATTTCAAAAAATCACGCTTAAATAAAAAGAAAATATAACCATAAGTATGAATTTAATTAGTTGTGTGTGTGTGTGTGTGTTTATATATATATAAATATATATATATATATATATATATATATATATATATATATATATATATATATATATATATATATATATATATATATATATATATATATATATATATATATATATATATATATATATATATATATATATATATATATATATATATATATATATATATATATATATATATATATATATATATATATTGCAAAAGAAAAAGAATACCTTTTCATGTTAGACATGCCTAACAACATGGCTTGCATAAAGATGAAGTAAGGAGGTGTCAAATGAGCTTCTTAGGTAACTCTCTAACAGGGCATTAACAACTGCTTCCTCATAGGCTAGCTTCAGGGGCTTCAGAAACTTCAGGTTCTGCTACATAATATTCTTGAGAGATTCGTCTATGAGAACCACATGGGTGAGAACCTCGGGGATGCAAAGTAGATGCACCATTAAACGAGTTATCAGTAATTCGTGGCCTCATGATCCTCACTTAGGCCCTCTCACGTCGTGCCGACGCAGTTTGAGACACACGTCTGAGCCTAATCCGACCAGCGTTGTTGTTAGCCATGCACCTGCATTAGAAACACATACAAATATAAACAACATGTATGGAGAAATTCACAGATTCCATAAAATCAACCAATTGTTTGCCTAAGTCCAATTCGAAGATGTATCTTCGAAAGCAATGCAAGTGGATCTAGAGATGCATCTTTGGACAAACCTATCATTGTATCCTATGGGAGAAACCCCTTTCCTGCCCTAGTACTCCTAAAAAACCACAATGCATGTTCTTCTAGCCTACCAAATTCGTTTACACTACAGTCTACCATACCTAATACAACTAATGCAGCCTAAACAACTAACAAAAAAAAAGAGAGATTAAATTTTAAAATACTTACCTAATCAAATTGATGAGAAGTAGATTGAATGTTTGAGATGCTAGAAAGGAGGAAAAGTTTCAATGTTGCAAAGCTCCAATGAATGGTGTCTGAATGAATGGATGAAAATGTTCAATTTTGTAGAGCTCAAATGTTTTGTTTTTAGAATTCTTTAGAAAATGAAGAAGGAGGAAAAGGGAAGGTCTGGAGTAGGATATGAAACAAAGTGTCTAGAGATGCATCTCCGGACCACCCACACATTTTTGAATAAATGATGTTTACAAAGATGCATCTTCAGATGCATCTTTACCGCATACGAATTAAATTTTAAATTAATAGAGGCGTCTCTTCAATTTGGTATGAGAAATGGCTAAAATAGGTGCATCTGAAGATGATAGGTGTGTCTAGAGATGCATCTTCGAACGCTAGGGGCATTTTGGACATTTCATGATGATGTGGGATAACACTTAAGGATGGAAAAAGCAACTCCATATACATATTGAGATTAAAAATCCATGTGAATGACTAAAAATAGAGAATTTAACTTGACATCCCCACATATTTTGTTACTTCAAAACTGCCCATGGACAAAATTTTTTGGTAGTTCATTATAAATTTTCGGTAACAGAACAAATTTCTGGTTGTTTATTTCTAAAAATATTGATGACAATTTCAAAATTCTTGGTACTAAATTAAAAAATTGAACTATCTCTATTTTCAAAGTTCTCAGTGTGAGTGTATGAGTAAATACCAATAAAGTTGAAATCCCCGCTAAAAACTCATCATTTATACTGGAATTTTCAAAATTAATGGTAAAAATATAAGAATTTTTACCAGGAAATTTGAAATTTGCGGTAAAAACTCATGAAAGTTATGATTTTTTACCGTACATTTTAACATTGTCGGTAAAAAATCATGAAAGTTGAAATTTTTTTTAGTTTTGATGAAATTGGTGGTATGAGTTACAAAATTTCCAGTATCGCCAAGCAAATTTTGTTAAATGCGTGAATTTTGCACGGATTTGAAAAAATGGTTTTAAAATTGTGAAGGATGATAATATAGTCAATTCACTTAATGTACAATGGTGTCGGGTATAAGCTGGAGGTGACAAGTTAAATTCTAAATAAGAAAATATATGAGTCAGG